GCAAAGCAGAGAAGATACTGCTTACTAAACGTAGGAGGAAAACTTTCAAAATTCCATGCTAACTGAGCTTTAGGTGCTATTTTAGGCCTAAGGCAAACCTGATTAATGAGATTTAAATGCAGAATTTGCTCAGCCCCCCAGGTTCAGTGGTACTCCTGCTGTGATGATGCATTAGAGTCGCAGATATGATAAAATGAGAGGCATATTCTTTTTTAATCCTCTATTTTCTGGTACAGAATACCACCCTCAGACAATGTTTTCAATACCAACACTCAATCTATTTAAAATAGAAATACATTTTTCCCTTTCAGCAGGTTTCCTTCCTATTCTCATTTTGTACAATGGATAAATAACAAGGCTGAAAAGAATGCTTGTCAACTTCAATTTTGCCAAACATGTAAATGTTACAAAAATAACCTTTACAAAAATCCCCAGACAAACCAAAATATTTACATGATATGACAAAGATTACAAAGCTGAACAGACAAATTACATACAAATAAGCCCTGGTAGCCTAGAGAACCAAAATACTTCGTCATGGGGATCCTCTGAGTGAAAGAGCTCAGAATGAAAAGAAAAACTGACTTTATGCAGACTTCTGCTGTCCATATAAAAAGGCATGCAAGCACACAAGGCAGCACTGATTGCTTTTATTAACTGCTGTTTGTGAAAATACCACACTCAAGTCCTTTGGAGTCCTTCAGATTTATGTATCCATGTGGAGCTTCAGGGATTACAATGGAGAACCAGGAGTTTGCTCACCTAATGCAGAATCAGACCCTGAGCCAAAGTACACAGATTTTACTGGGAGAATATCCCTCTGAGTTAGGACTATTTTTTCACCAAGACAGTTTGGCTAGTGAAACATTGAAATAAGTACATTTATGCTTATACAAAACTGCATTCTCCAGTTATGGCGTATTTCTATAGGGAAATATAAACAAACTATACTGCTAAGTTCATATTAGACCTCATCACATTTTTACTGTTTTGATTATACTGATAACAGTACAACACATAGCTTGCATACCTATAGTGCTTAAAATCAAACTAGGTGAAAAAATATGTTCACAAAGCTGGGTTGTTAAAGAGCTGCTTCCCTTCGGTGGTAGTTACACATTCCCTGGCATCAAAATTTCCATCAGTGAACAGTGACAATGTATGCATTACGTGTTTGAATCTGAAAACAAATGGCAAAGCCAAGATAAGCTGTTTTACCAGACTAAATGAGGAGAAAAGCAAGGGCATGGAGACTGATCCTTTTTTAATATCAAACTGGAGATTTTTTAATCAAAGGTAAATTCATGACAGTTATCTCACTATACAGATAGTCAAGTAACTTTTATTTGTTCAATTTAATAAACTAAATTTTGAGAGTGTAAGGAGCATTTATCTTTTTGAATGAATAGAAATCCCATCTTTCTAATGGCAATTGTTCTTTCTGGCCTCAGTGAAGGTGATTATATTCCTAAAAAGTGGTGTCATTTGTGTCATTGTCATTGAGGGAGTTCAGAGACTATAAATCACTTTACAGCCTATTTAAAAGCAGGGGACAAAACCTATGAACATTAATTTTAAAACTGCTTCAGATTACTATTCTTTTATGATTAACTAAAGTGGACTTCAACCTCCTTTGAGATTTCCGTGTTAGTGTGATAAAATTCATTGCTTTTAACAAATGGACCAGTTTCAGTGACAGTGTTTATTCAGTACATTGCACATGCACGGCACTATACAGCAAGTGGAAGGTCACTTCATTAATCCTTGCTCCAAAGGTGTAAGTGGATATGATCGTATGCAATACAAAACCAATACATATTGATTAGCATGACAATCCTCCACTGAATAGGTATTTCTTAAAAAGAGAGTGGAAGCAGTTTGGTACAGGAGGTCTTCTTTGCCCTCTCCAGTGATGATGTTAAACCAATACCTCACCACAGTACCTCATGGTCGCCATGGTGTAGCAACAGCCCCAGTGCCAATCTGGCTTAAATAGTGTTGTTAGAGAAAAACCTGTAGTGAAGTCCATACAGCTATACATCCCCTGGACCACCCAGGATGCCCCAGAGTACGCTGGTGCCAAGGTTAGGTTACTCCCCCCACTGTGTAGTAGTGAGTCACTGCTTGGCATACATAGCTGTCCTCCCAGAACCGGTTCCTTTGAGGCTCTTAAAATGCTTGTACAAGACAGAGATGAGTCTGTTTTACCCCAAAAGTGCTGTTTATGGCCAGGTCCAAACTCCATGCCGTTATGGTCACACATGCAGACAACCTCCAAGTGTCCGGTCTGTTGAATAAGACAGACTAGCCAATGACTTGTCTCAGGAATACAGGGATGCCTGTTCGGTGAAGGGCTGAGGCCTTGAAGAAGGTTACATAGGGATGCATGTTCAACCCTAATGGACATGGCTGTTCAAACTGATTTGATCTCACATGCCTCAGCTCCCCCTGTGCCTGCCCTGTGATGGATCTATACTGGCAAGCTGGGGGGTGAGGCGGGGAGTGATAAAAGTATGAAAAAAACACATCCATCTTATTTATTGGGAAGTAGGCAGCATCAAGCAGATGGAATCATGTGAAATTGCTGGTCAGGCAGTAAGAGATGAACACAAACTGAGAGGGAATGGAAAGAAAAGACAGATGATGCAAGCAAATAAGACATGTCAGTTGTAGTGACTTTCAGGATATCTATTTCTCAGCCAATGAGAATGTCTTGTTCCTGGTTAATCTGTAAGTCCCTGAATCTAGAATTTCCTCTTAAGGCTTCATTTTGCTAATAAAAAGTTAATACAGATTTTGCTGTCATACAGGGAGCCTTTCCACTGAGGTCACTGGAACCATATCAGTAGGAAACTGATGGGAGAAGAGAATCAAGACACCTGTGCTTGAGCAGGCCCAGGGCGTGGTGGCCACAAGTGTTCCTGCTCCCATAGCTATCTGTTGGGGTCTCAGGTAGCAAAACTACTTCAAAACAGGTATTTATTACTTGAGGTATAAGCTGAACACAATGTTTGGGGCATTTTCCCCGCAGATCACTAGAATGCAATTTAGTGTTGGAAAAGCTGACACGATTTCATACAACAACAGCTGCTGGCTGCTGTTTATCTGCCTGTGTCACTGGGTTGATCAAAGCTTTGATGTGGAAGCATCACTTGAGAGTGTGTCTGAAAGTGCAGCTTAATTACAAGGGCTTGACATTCCAGGCGACAGCAAGCAGCTAGGAGAGCTTATAGAAATGTGCTGGAGAGTCAGAGTTAATCATGAGGAGGCTCTGGGAATTTTCTGCTGAACACAAGGAAGAAGGAGGGTGAGAGAAGGAGTTAGAAAATCATGCACATCTCAGCAAAACATGCAGTCCTCTACCTTTAACTTCAAGGCTGTCTCCGCTTAATAAAGTGGTTAAGCAGACCCTCAATTTTACTTACGGCAAATATCTTAGTCTGCACTTATTGTTGAGCACGTGTTTAAATGCTTTGCTGGTAAACTAGCTAGCTCTCAGTAAAATGATCTGGTTACTGCATACTCATTTAAATTCCCAAATCGTGTAGCTACTTCGAGCAATGAACATCTGCTCCGGAGGTGGTGTCACATGGGATATTTGGCCTTTTTAACGTGGATGACAAGTTACTAAAAATCTGTTTCTCTCCATGTAGCATTGGTGTGGTACTACTGCGTGCTGCACCCAGCAAACTTTCCTCTGTGACTGTAGAACATTTTATCTGGTTTAGGTTTATTATCTGGCTGAAGAGGAAACGCTTTTAGGTTTGATTGCTACATTTCATAGAACAGTCTCGTGAACATGTTGAGCAGACTGACAGAGGTATATTTAAATATAGATAGGTACAGTGAACTCATTTGTTTGAAGGTTTAGCTTTGGTAAAGCCACATTTACAAGCATTCAGTTTCCTGACAGTTTTGTTCCAAATGTAACACAGACACATCTGCTTCTGCACTCTCACACAATCCTTACTCAGAATTTCAGCAGAACCTCATTGTTGCTGCTAAATTGTAGCTGTATTTTGTGGAAATGTGTTTTACTCAGAATTCTTCAACTCTCATTGACTCCACTCTGATTTGCATTTCTCTGTATAAGCCTAATAGTTAAATTTTCTTTGAGTTCTTCAGTTTCACAGGAACAATGATGTTACAGAATGAAGAACACGCTTTGTTCCTGTGGAGACTTAAGTCTGTAATGCTAATGTGTTTCTTCAGTGCATCGTGTTGCTTATGGTTTTTTTTTTTGTAGCATGAAGGGACAGGGCATATATCTGTAGTCCATAGTGTATTTCACTCAAATGACGTCCTTACTGAGGCAAAACAGTTCACTTTGGTACATGAGGCAGGAATCATCCTGTATAAATTGGCAAGAAAAAGCATAGTATGAAAACTCAATCATATTCCTTAAGTATTAGTTGCAAAGAACATAGCTATTCCTGTTTTACCTTCTCTTTCTGAACTCAATAAGGAACTTATTTACATCTAAATGCCACACAATTGATCTCTGCCCTGATCCAATGTTCCAGGGGAGTCATTCCTTCTCTTACAGTGATGCGGATGGATCTACCTTTGGCATGGAGACGAAGACTACAAAGTTCTCTTCCTAGGACTGGCAACGCACCAGGATGGTGATGGAGTAACTGGAATATAATTACAAAACACAGACCAGAAAAGAGGACGAGGAAATGAAACCAAGACTGCTTCACCACCCTGCGAGAAAGCAGGAGAAAGGAATGCAAATCCCAAAGCAGATGCTGCGTGTAAACATACCGGATCAGCGCCGAACTCCTCACGGGGAGACTTCCCCTTCAACCAGTCCCCCGTGTTTGCCTCCCACCAGAGGAAAGCGGGAAGCAGCTGAGCAAGGCCCGGCCCCGCGCTGGGGCTGAGCCTGGCGGGGTGCAGCCTCCAGGGGTCTCCTGGGCCACCGCCTCCCCGCTCCCGCAGCGGCGGGGGCACCGCGGGGAAGAGAGACACGACAGCACCCCCACGACACGCATACATATACATACGTACATACGTACCTATACACACATACACACATGACACACCGCCGCACCGCGCGTACGGACACACACGCAGAAGCTGCCCCGCATCGCGCAGCGGGCACACGCGCACCGCACCGGCACACGCGCGGAAGCACCGCCCCGGCCCGCCCCCGTCCACCGCCCCCCTCCGCCCGCCGCGCACACAGACACCACGCACACGCCCGGCTGTAAATGACTGACTGACGGACGGACGAGCACGCAAGTAGGGACGCCGGGCTCTGGACGGATTATTCACCCCGTACCAGGGACACGCAGGAAACCACTTCACCTACCTCGCGGGCCGGGCGGGGGCAGGAGGGTCCCCAGCCCCCACCGGTGGACGGCGAGCGCCCCGAGTGTCCGAGGAGCCTGACCAGGTAACGTGTCCCTCCCGGGCAGCACCGCCGGGCTGAACGGGCAGCCGGCTCAGGCCGTGGGGCGCCGCCGGATACGCCGGGGGCCGGCTGGCGGGAGTGGGCAGAGGCCGCCCTGATTCTCCACTCAGGTGCTGAGGGGATGCGGGCGGGTGGTGCCCCGGAGCGCGGGTGGCCCCCAGCCGCTTGGCCTCGCCTTCCCAGCCCGCGGGGCGGCGGCTCCCGGCCGCCCTGCGCCGACCCGCGGCGCGGCTGCAGTGGTGGTGGCGGCGGCGGCGGGGGATCGGGGCTGCCGGTGCTGCAGCTCCGCGCTGATCCCCGGGAGCCGCGCTCTGGTGGCGGCAGGGATTAGCGCGGGTGGCTGGCAGGGGGGACACCGGCATCGGTGTCTTTGTGGTGAGGCGGGCAGGGGCTGGGTGCCCTCAGGTGTCAGCCGGGGCCGGCCCAGCCGCGGCAGCGGCGCCGCGGTGCTGGAGGGGGAGGCCCGGAGGCGCTGTGGGTCTCGGCCTGTGCCGGACGCAGCGGGGAAGCTGGTGCCGCGGTGGCTGCAATGTGCAGTTAACCTGTGAGGATGTCAGGGAGAAGCGGTGGCAGAAATGTCAGTGGGTAGGGCTGGGGCACTGGCCGTCAGTCGTGTGTGGCCTTTGCAGCGTGGTTGGGTTTGGAAGCAGGAGGTAGAGGGTGCTGCCCGTGTTTTCCAAAATCAGATGGCACGCGTAAAAAGTGGAGCAGATGGTGGTGGTTGTGGTTATTATGGAAGAGGTTCATGAAAATCGTGTATTTCCTTTAGATAGTTTTTGTGTTGCCTCTCCTGGCTGAAAGAGGAGATTTTTCACTTGGCAAGGAAAAGTGTTGCTGCGAGTTGGCTTGTAAAGGAGCGGGGTGATTCTGCCTTTTCTCGGAGAAGTAAACCCCCCACAGCTTTATGTCTCCGTCTCACCTTTGAGACTGACAACACTGTCTTGGCGTAGAGAGAAACTGCAGTAAGCTTTATTTCTTATTGCACACCTTTATAGTTGAATGTAAATAGAAGCGAGACTCAGAATCTCCTCTTATCCTTTTCAATGCCAGATGTGTTTTTCTATCTAGTATATATTGCACTTGAAGTGTTAAACTCTCAGGGGGCACGGAGGTGGGGGTGTGAGGCAGGGTCTGCTAGTTACTTCAAACAATTCTCTTTGCACATACTTAAGAAGGAAAAAAAGGAACATGTTGAAAAAGCAGCTGAGGAATATATAAAAGTGAAATATTAATGAACTGAAAAAGCTCAGATAGCAAAGACATTGCGCCTAATCATTTGGGAAGATTCTTGTCTTTTTTACAACTCCTCGTTGTATGTGTGCCTGTAGTACAAATGCAGTCGGTATAAAGGACAGCAATATTTGTATTTAAATAGCTTGAAGTAGTAATAGTACATAATTTGTTTTTTTGCCTTGGTGATAATATCTGCAGTGGCTTGGTTTAGCCATGATTTTTGAGGCTGCTGTAGGACAGAAAATTATTGCAGAAACAGAAAAAATATTTCAAGAATGTTTTCTTAAAAATGGAAATGGGAAGGACTGACTGAGACCTGGAATAACCCAGAAGAGCAACTAGAGCTTTAGAAAGACCTCTTACAGACATGAGGATAATTTATTTTCCTCTGATGTTACTATTTATCTCTAGCATCCCAAACGAAGTGCAGCATCTCCTAAATGGGCAAGACTGTCCCAGGAGAAGGTAGTACATGGCTGTCCATGAGCTGCGGAAAGCGTGTAGTACAAACAAGGGATATTTTCTGCAAATAGCATTTCCTTTACGTCTTGGAGTCTGGAGTGCAATGGTCCCTGTAAATTGAAGAACTTCCCCAGCTTGGCTTGAAAGGATACTGAGTGCAGCAGCTTTCTGCAGCAGTCTGATGAGGAAATCTAGTTCAGTGGGAAAGTTGTCTGTCAGCCACAGGGTGAAGTCCTGTGGCCCTGGCTGTAATCCCTGGTAGGACTTTTTGGAATAGCTGGTGCATATTGGTTTGAGTGAGGCCTGCCTTCTCATGAGCTTGGTGCAGGCCCCATCAGGCAGCATAGACGTGGGGAGCTGTACCATAAGGAGGAGCTGGAACAGTGCATAGGGTATGTACCATGTCTGGGTTACAAGAGATATTGCTTGGTGTTTAAGTCTGTTAGTCACAGAAGATGCTGAAAAACCATCTTGTATCTTCAGGTCTAAGCATATGGTTGTGTGAGTGCATGATCTGTCATGCTGTGTGAGCTGCCTGTGGTTGAATCTCTCCTTGAGTCAAGCCTAATACCTCATTTAAGCCTTTGTAGTTAATAGCTGGACATTGAACAACTTAAAATTGGCAGTGTCTTACTTCACTAGATAGTGTTTCATCAATTGCAAGAGAGAAGTAGAAATGTTGCTCCATCTGGATGAATTCCTACTCCTCCATGAAGGTTCATGGAAGATACTATGGCTTGGTTGGATTACCTCCCCTGGAGTATTTGGAAAGTCAGAATTGCATAAGGGCAATGTATGGTTTTATGTTTTGTCAATAGCGCAGATGTGAGTACTACTGAGAAGTATTTTGTCAAAATAATGGTAGATTTTGAGAAACATACAGATGTGCACATTCTGAGGACATGACATTTTCACTGAGGTTGAGTTCCTGGGTTATTTTCACTGTACTTCTGGAGGTGTTCTAATGTAAAGAGGCTGTGTATTTTACCAGGTGTTATAGATCTTTGAGGCAAGGTAAGAAGTGAAAGCTGCACAATTGTTTTTCTGAGGTTGATTAATACAAGTAAAGCATCTGAGGACATAGCATTTGTGTGTCAGTGAAAGTATCGATGGAAAAGAAACCTTACAGACATTTCAAGTCAAATGGTGCACATTATATTTTTGGAATACCCACCAGCTTGTTAGGCAGAAGAACTGAATTAAATTCTCTATCTTGCCAGAGTTACTGCTTGTTACAAGATTCAGTGCCTCAGGTCTTCCCCTTGTGAGTAGTTCTGCTGCAATTGGATGGGGGTGGTGGTAGGGGAACAAAAGGAAGCATATGCATAAATAAAATAATGGCAAGTAGGGGCTGGGTTTGTTTACTGAAAAATAATTATGCAGCTTAAGGTTTTTCTCTCATTATTGCGTTTATTTGGCAGATTTCTGCAGTGATAGTAAACTGGGTTTACTTGGTAAAGTGAATATGCTTTCGTATCAGACTTTAGCTATTGAATGTGCTGTGTCTGTGAGATGGCATGCAAAATACAGAACTTGTAAGCACATAAAACCTGTAGTGTGATTTTTTTGCTTCTAATATTTCATGTATATTCCTATGCTTGAGTAAGGACCTATAACTTTGAGGTTATGGAAGATGGAGCCATATATTTTACATCCAATTGTATTAAACCTCTGTAGCTGTTTGCTAGTTAAGCATGTTGATACTTGATGCTTTTTGACTTGTTCTCACTGCCCTACCTTACACAGTGTATCGTACTATATTTTCATATAGAAAATATAAGCACATACTTGGTGACTGCAGACTGTTGTATCATTTATACACTGTATGACAAAATGTTAATGTTTCCTATGCAGTCTACTGCTTTTACCTGAAAAGTGATCTGTCCTGTTAGAGAATAGTTGTTTTATAATAAAATGTAAGGCAGAAGAAATCACAGACAGGCAATAAGTAAGAGCAGAAAAGTCTTGGATGTGGAAAAGGCAAGAAGTTTTTAAAATGTGCACTGTAATCTGTTGCAAGTGTTTTGTAATTCTGCACGGAAACCAACCAACCAAAAAAACAACACAAAAAACCAGACAACCCCAAACCCAACAAACAACCCCCCAAAAACTTAGAGAAACAAAACCAACCCCAAAATAGACTGTCAAGGGGTGTTGTAAGGTCTGAATGATGATGGTTTTGTGTACAAATGTTCTGTGTTGAATATAGATGACTCTATTTTTTTTTTTTTTCCCCTGGTTATGCTAGAAAAGTCCCTGTCAATGTTGAGGTATGAATGTGTAATTGTTTTCTTCATAGATGGGAAATTGAGGTGGTGTTGTGTTGAAGTCACACAGTTGATTTGTGATAAAGATAATTGAACTGGAATATGCATCCCAAGTCACATGGTCTTATCTTAATGACTTAACTGCTTTAGTATAGTTATTTTGATAACTTGGCATAGATGTAGAAACTTCCTGCAGATGCACTTGCAGGATTTGGGTGTGGAGTTAGGCAACATTTTCTCTATAAAGGTTAATTAGTAGCAGATTATTTTTTTTTTCAGTTGAGGAGAAAAAGCTTTTCCTGGATTTTCTTTAGCTGCTGAGTTTGAGAGAAAGGAGTTCAGCGCTCATAGAATGCAATGACACTTTTGCATTATTTAAGGAAATAGCTCTTAATTTTTTATAATGCTCTAACATATCAGGAATTTGAGATCCAGTTCAGTCAGTAATGCTTTTGAGGGTCACAGCTGTCTTCCCGCTGCGAAGAACCAGTTGTGACAGACTGGTAGACAGCTTTAAAAAATGCCTTTTTTCCCCTATACGTTTTGGTGCAAATCATTGCCTCTAAAAATGTGTTGATTGGTTCTAGTGCATTTCCAGCTCTGCCTTTCTTCTCAGTTTTTGCCTCTTTCACTTTTGTTTTTGGGCCTCTTTCCTGCTCCTTCTTTGATGTGCCATCTTGATGTGATCTCTTAAAATGTTTCCATGTGAAAATAGCAGCTTTCAAGTCATTTACTGATTTTGTGTAGTACAGTGAGATTTAGATTTGGGTGAGAGTATAGTACAGAAATATTTAGCATCTACATGTTGCTTGTGTCATAGCCTAAAACCTTGTCATTTGAAGCAGAACCTGTGAAGCCATGATGTCTGTGCACATCACCTTCCAGTGATGTTAACCTGTCAGTTAGCCATGCCAGCAAAATCTGACACCCTGAGAAAGGTGGAGTCACCTGGTTCAGCCAGAATGTGGTAGAAAGGGTGTTTTGTGTTGAGGTGGCAATGGCAGCTTCTGCCCCCTCTGC